AGAGATATTTCCATATGTGCATTCACATATACATACACACACATATTTTACCAGTTTGAATGTCATCCCTCCCTAGGGGCCCTGCTAAACTCCATATTATTCCAATTTCAGTCAATACAGCAAAAAATGCTGTAGGTTGTTAAGTAAGGGGAAAGTATAATCACTTTTGTAGCTTGGGAAAAGTAGTTTTGGCTGTTATTTGAAGAGAAGAATGTGCAAGGCAGGGATTAAGCAAAAAGGACAATAAGGAGGTTATTGCAGGGATCCAGTTAAGACATGAACATGGCTCAAACCAAGGTTATGGCAGTGGGGCAGTAGAGAAGTAGGTGGATTCAAAAGATATTTAGGGGTGGCTCAGTCAGTTAAACATCTAACTCTTGATTTGGCTCAGGTCATGATCTTGGGTTCATGACCTCAGTGTCATGAAATTGAGCCCTGCATCAGGTTCTGTGCTGGATATGGAGCCTGCTTAAGATTCTATCTCTCCTCCTCCCTTTACCTCTCACTCCCTGTGCTCTTTCTGTCTAATAATAAGAGATATTTAGGGATGTCTGGGGGACTCCATTTGTTAAGTATCTGCCTTCGGATCAGGTCATGATCCTGGAGTCCTGGAATCAAGCACCACATCAGGCTCCCTCCTCAGCAGAGAGTCTGCTTCTTCCTCTACCCCTCACCCTGTTCATGCTTCCTCTCTCCCTCTCAAACAAACAAATAAATAAAATCTTTTAAAAAGATATTTATAATATAAATATGACAGGATTTGCCAATGCATTGGGTGTGGAGAGTGGGAGAGAAATCAGGAATCTTGGATGACATTGAAGTTTCTAGCTAGAAAAATGGGAATGGGAGGGAAGATGGTATCACCTTCCTGAAGCTTATCCTGATGCCCGCACTTTACAAATGACTTCTCCCTTCTCTTAAGTGATATATCACTTTGTATGGACATCCCTTCTCTTACTCACCATGTTATTTTATGCTAATGAAAGACATTATTCCTGCATTGTTCAATCCTTACTTATTGCCAGCTTCTTAGTAGTGGGGAATGGACAGGCAGGTGTAAGGAAAGTAGAGGGAGTAAAGAAAAACAAACTAGTATTAATTGATCACTTACTTTATGAAAGGTTCTGTACTAGGCCTTTTATATACATTCTTTCATTTTATTTTCACAACATGATTTTACAGATGACATATTGAGGATCAGAGAATTCAAGTGACTTTCCTAAGATCACACACTTCAAGAGGAAGCAGAGTCAAGGTTCAAACTGGAATAGTCCAGACCCAAAACCCACAATAAGGAAGCCATATGAAAATGCAAAGGAAAGTTAAGTAGGAGCTGATGCCATCCATAGAGCTTCTCAAAGAAGGCAGCCAGAAAACAAGAAATGTTAACTGATCATGAAGGGGAAGAGGGGCTCACCAAGGTAGACATGAAGGGTCTGGATCAAAGGGAATGGGCAAATAAGAGTTGAGAATATCCTCAGGGAGACTCTACCTGGATAAAGTACCAGGAAGCTGAAGAAAACACACCATTGGTCTGGGGACATAAACAGATACCTGAAGACCAGGCATTCAGGAGCCCAAGGATCAGTCTGCACATTCAAGTTAGCTGGCAAGGAGTTAGTTTTAAAACAAGAGTCCGTTAGAATTGAGCAGTTGTTCTCAAAATGTGGTCCTCAGTCTAGCAGCATTAGCATCACCAGAAATTCAGCTATATAGTTACCAAACATTCTGAGCACCTACAAACTCAAAAGGAGACAGAAGGAAAGAATAGCAGCAATTCTATGAACAGAAAAGCAATTAATATCTGGAATGGTGTGTCTTCCTGGGGTTGCTGTTGCTCTTTAGTATTCTGTTCTCTCATTCATCTATTCTTCTCTGGATAAAATAACAAGGTGGAAAAACTTACCTCAAAAAAAAAAAAAGAATAAATAGCAGTACTGATTGTGAAGGAACTTAATCAATATGGACACTAGTAAGATGTCAGAACTAGAGTTCAGAATGATGATTATAAAGACGCTAGCTGGGCTGGGAAAAAGAAAAAACAAAAACAAACAAACATAGAGAATATGAGGGAATCCCGGTCTGGAGAAATAAAAGAACTAAAATCAAACCAAGTTGAAATTAAAAAAGCTATTACTGAGGTGAAATAAAAATAAATGGAAACTCTTACTGCTAGGATAAAAGAGGCAGAAAAGAGGATTAGTGATAGAGAAGACCAAATGTTGGAGAATGAAGAAGCTGAGAAAAAGAGAGATAAATAACTACTGGATCAGGAAGGAAGAATTCGAGTGATAAGTGATACCAAAAGACAAAACAGTAGTAGAATAACTGGGATACCAGAAGAAGAAGAAAGAGAGAGGGGGCAGAAGGAATATTGGAGTAAATTATAACCGAGAATTTCCCTAATTTGGGGAAGGAAATAAGCATCAAAATCCAGGAGGCACAGAGAACCCCCTCAAAATCAATAAACATAGGTCAACACTTCATATCAAATAGTAAAGCTTACAAGTCTCAAAGCAAGGAGAAAATCCTGAAAGTACCTCAGGAATAGAGGTCTGTAAGCTACAAAGGTAGAAATATTAGATTGACAGCAGACCTATCCACAGACACCTGTCAGGGCAGAAAGGACTGGCATGATATATTCAGAGCACCAAACAAGAAAAATGTTGAGTCAAGAATACTATATCCAGCTAGGTTGTCATTGAAAATAGAAGGAGAGGTGAAAAGCTTCCAGAACAAATCCATCAGAATCCTAGAGGAGAACATAGGCAGTAACCTCTTCGATATAGGCCACAGCAACTTCTTTCAGATATGTCTCCAAAGGCAAAGGAAACAAAAGGAAAAATAAATTTTGGGGATTTCATCAAGATCAAAAGCTTCTGCACAGCAAGGGAAACAGTCAACAAAACAAAGAGGCAACCCACAGAATGGGAGAAGATATTTGCAAATGACAATACAAAGGGCTACTGTCCAGGATCTATAAAAAACTCCTCAAACTCAACACACACAAAACAGATAATCATATCAAAAAACGGGCAGAAGACATGAACAGACACTTCTCCAATGAAGACATACAAATGGCTAACAGACACATGAAAAAAGGTTCATCATCACAGGCCATCAGGGAGATTCAAATCAAAACCACATGGAGATACAACCTTACACCAGTTAGAATGGCCAGAATTGACAAGACAGTAAACAATGTGTGTTGGAGTGGATGTGGAGAAAGGGGAACCCTCTTCCACTGTTGGTGGGAATGCAAGTTGGTGCAGCCACTTTGGAAAACAGTGTGAAGATTCCTTAAGAAATTAAGAATAGAACTTACCTATGACCCTGCAATTGCACTACTGGGTATTTACCCCAAAAATGCAGATGTAGTGAAAAGAAGGACCATCTGTACCCCAATGTTCATAGCAGCAATGGCCAGAGTTGCCAAACTGTGGAAGGAACCAAAATGCCCTTCAACGGATGAATGGATAAGGAAGATGTGGTCCATATACACTATGGAGTATTATGCCTCCATCAGAAGGGATGAATACCCAACGTTTGTATCAACATGGATGGGACTGGAAGAGATTATACTGAGTGAAATAAGTCAAGCAGAGAGAATCAATTATCCTATGGTTTTGTTTATTTGTGGAGCATAAGGAATAACATAAAGGACTTGGGGGGATAGAGGGGAGAAGGGAGATAGGAGAAATTGGAGGGGAAGATGAACAATGAGAGACTGTGGACTTTGAAAAACAATCTGAGGGTTTGGGAGGGGCAGGAGTGGGAGGTTAGGTGAGTATGGAGGTGGGTATGATGGAGGGCACATAGGGATGATACTTGAAGACATTATGCTAAGTGAAATCAGCTTGTCACAGGAAGACAAATATTGTATGATTCCTCTTATATGAGATACTTAGAGTAGTCAAAATCATACAGACAGAAAGTTTAATGGTTGTTGCCAGGAGTGAGGGGGAGGGAAGAATGAGAAGGTATTGTAGATATAGAGGTAGGTATATAGTTTCAGTTTTGTAAGATGGAAAGAGTTATAAAGATGGATGGTGGTGATAGTTACACAACATTATGAAGGTATTTAATACCACTGGAGTGTACACTAAAAATGGTTAAGATGGTAAATTTTATGTTATGTGTATTTTGCCCCAATAAAATATTGAAGAATAAAAAGAATAAAAAAAAGAATAAAAAAGACTGAGACTCATACTGTAAACCAGCTAATGATAGCTTAATAGTCACTGTCTGCCATCTTTCCCAAAGTGGTTTTCTGCCCTTTATATCTTTCTGTCTGGCAGATGTAAGGCCTATTGTCCATGTTCAGATCTCCTAGAATCAACTGTCAAACACTTGTTCCCAGATCATGCCAAATACATTACTTCCATTACCAAAATTTTCTTCCATCTAATCTATTTTACTTCCTGGCTCTACCAAGTGGCTAAACCACACCAAACTTTGCTCTATCTTTTCAATACTGTGCTTTACACAAATCTGTGCTGCTGGAAACCTTATCCAAGACCAGGTTTTAAGCTTTGTACTGCATCCCTCACCATAGCAAGCATGTCTGCATATAATGTCAATCTGTTCCTGGCCTCATATTGCTAAGAATCTGGATAATCTTACTGCATTAAATAGATTTTCAGAAATACGCCTGAAGAAGCCCTTCTAAAAGTGAAATCTGTATAGCAGTGTTACCAAAAGATGTTCACTAATTAAAGTTTCAGTGATTAAATATGATAAATTTTACATACTCTATTCCCATCTTGGATATTTTTGATGAACAAAAATAAATACAAGTCTCTGAGAAGCACTGCAGCAAAGAATACTATTTGACCACATTTAACCTAGTATTTGGCAAACACATTCAGACTCACAGCCATTTTTTTTTCCACCAAACACTTATCCCTTGGAACTCAGTTTGAGAGATGCCTGTTTCAAGTGTACCTCTGAGGTACCCCCAGGCTCCAGTTTTTAAATCCTCTCCAGTTCTCAGGTTCCAGTCAATGAATTTCATAAGTTAAAGATTCCTCACCCAGGATTCCAAGATGCTTATTTTCCTCCAGCTCCACTTTTTCCTGGAATGTCTCATCTTGGAAGGCTTCATATCGGACTTTCCAGTAAGTGCCCCCAATCCGACTGGAACTCTTCTGGAAGAATTTATCTGAGCCACTGGCATATATAAAAAAGCAAATTTTACATGATTTAATTGTGTATCAAATAGATCCCCATCTCATCCTCAGTATCATCAAGTTATAGATATTTAGGAAGAACCTCAGAGATCCTCCAGGTTAAATTCCACCCAATGAAGGTATCTCCTTTGATGGCACCACTAATAAGTAATACACAGAGTCTCAAGGATGTGGAGAAATTGTCAAGTCTCGAATTTTTCAAAAGTCAAGGGACTTAAAATTTCAGAGAAAGCAATCCCTCGTACTGTTGGATAGTTTTAATGGTTGGAGTTCTTTTTTATGGTAGGCTAAAATCTTTTATTGTAAATTTCAGACAATGGGACCAGTTCTGCTCTCTGAAGTTAAATAGCCTTACATCTGTCCTAATCGTCTTCAGATACTCAAGATCCTTTCTCGCCTTAATTAAAAAAAAAAAAAATATATATATATATATATATATATATATATATATATATATTTTCTTCATTTCAGGGCACCTGGGTGGGTCAGTCAATTAAGCAACCGACTTCAGTTCAGGTCATGATCTCAGGGTCCTTGGATTGAGTCTTCTGTTTAGCTCTGCACTCAGCAAGCGGTCAGCTCCTCCCTCTCCCTCTGTCCCTCCTCCTGCTTGTGCTTTCTTTCTCTGTCTCACTCAAATAAATAAATAAAATCTTTAAAAATATATTCTTCATTTCAAAATGAAAGCCTGCTAAATTAGCAAGCACAGTTGGGAGATTTCTAGAAGCTATGCTGAGACTCAAGTCCTTATTTGCTTATGGTTTCTTCAGATTCATCCTATTATTTCTTACTGGAAGAATAAATATGATGGGTTCCCTAGAATGTTCCTCCCTAAATTCTCCTAGTCTTTTACTAAGTACCTCTTCTGTAAAAGACCTGAAATCATTGATAGCCCAGTGAGTCAGTATAACTTAAGACCTAGTATCTGAATAGGGAACTAATCTTCTGCCTTATTTTGCCTACATCTGAGTAATGGATGAGGCAGGAAAATTTGGAGAAATTCCTCTAAAAGGATGAGAATGGAATGGCTACAGGGCAGGTTGCTCCTGCTCTTCCTGTATTTCTCTGAATGCTTTTTATACTCCTTTTTATATGCTTTTTATACTCTTATACTCAAATGCCTCCTTCAGATTATAGAAAAGAAAGGAAGGGGAAATGAGGTAAACAATGAGTAAAATAAAGGAGAGTTGGATACATGCCATTTCAACTCTTCTGGTTTCTTTTGGGTCTTATTTTCTTTTTTTTTTTTTTTTAAAGATTTTTTTTTTTTTTTATTTATTCATTTGACAGATAGAGATCACAAGTAGGTAGAGAGACAGGCAGAGAGAGAGGAGGAAGCAGGCTCCCCGCTGAGTAGAGAGCCCGATGCGGGGCTCGATCCCAGGACCCTGGGATCATGACCTGAGCCGAAGGCAGAGGCTTTAACCCACTGAGCCACCCAGGCGCCCCTGGGTCTTATTTTCTTAATGAAGCCTGGGATCATAGCAGAAGCTATCTCAAACTGTGCTTGAACCCTTTGCTGAGGATATGACATAAACCTACAGAAATTCAAGAGCACACTCTCCGGGGGACCACAAGAATTTGGCTAACAGTTGTTATACAAGTCCAAGCAGACAATGTTCGCAACCCCCAAGTGAAGTGAGAGATTTGAGAGGTAGTAATTAATAGGTGTTGGCCTGGGCCCAAGGGAGGGAGAGGAAGCTCACTGTCTCTTACCTGCCCGGTTCCCTCAAATTCTTCCCAGTACTCCCATCATGCCCCATTGGGCCATAGTTCCATAGAATCTCATGGGCCTCAATGAAGTACTGCCGAACTTTGCCTGTGAGTTGGTTCATAGGAGGGGTCGTGGAGCAAGATTTGACCTTGTAGAGTGCTTGCATGCCATCTGGAGGAGGAACAGCATGGCTGGCTCCATTCCACCCAACAGGTTTTGTAGCCAGATGACCCACCTTTTTCATTCTAATGTTTTTCCCTCCCACATTTCACTAGGCCACTTTCTCTCACTCCTCAAGAACCTAGCTAAGAGAAAGGGAGGCTATGTGGGAATTCAAGTACCTTTACCTGCTAACCACAACTGACTCATTTACCAGATCGTCATTCCTGCTTCTGCAAAAGGCTTACATTGTAGCAACATCAGCATTTGAACTCAGAACCCTTGAGTTCCAGTCTAATTGTTATCAATTTCTGTAGGACTTTTGGCCAGTCACTTCCTAGAGTTGAACTTTAACCCCTGTTTTGTAAATGAGAGAATAAGGATGTCTATCACACTGGACTGGTGGAAGCACCACATTTTAAAAAGGGGGAGTAAGAAAAAATAAAAGGAGTAAGTTACATGTAAAGTGGGAAGCTCCCAAAATAATGGAACATCTTCTATACACGGCGATGAAACTTCAGACTTGGGAATGTCAGGAAAATTTGAATTCTAAATAGTACCTCCAAATGTGGAAAAATGTACCTCAAGGCATAGGGATAATAGATGATACTGCCTTATATTTTCTTGGCAACTTATATAGGTCATTCAAGTATACTATTTGATGGGAGACATTTGAGTCTCACATCATCCCAAGGAAATTTGAAAGTTGCAAATTAGAAATTTGAGGTTTAAAAAAGGAGGAAAAAATAAGATCATTCTTTTGTTAAATATGTGCTACATGCCAAGCCTTGTGCCAGGTGCTTCATATATCCTTCAATCTTCATAACCATCATGTGAAACAGACTTTTAATGTCCCCTTTTGCAGATGAAGAAAGCAAAAGATCAGAGAAGTTAAATAACTTGCCCAAATTTAAACGGCTAGTCGGTGGTGAAACTGAGGCTTAATCTCCTATTTTTTAATGGCAAATTTAAATGCACATTTTCTTCTTTCAGAGAAGCTATATGAGTTACCAAAGTTAATTAAACCATTGGTAGAATGAAGATTTGAATTCAGGCTTATCTGGCAAACCCTAAGACCCATATTTGTTTCACTATTGTGCTGCATCCCTAACCTCCATCCGTATTCATTCATACCCCCTTACCCAGGTATCTTTAGGACCAAAGGAGAGCCCTGGATGATGGAGCATGGGTAAGTGGCCTCTGTTGGTCAAACCTACCACCACAGACTCATTATCCTGCTAGTCTATAACTCCTTACCTCCTTACCTTACCTCCTCTACTCAAATCTACTTTCATATATACATATTACTTTCCTGACACCTACCTAATTTATTGTATATCAAATAATTCTAGAAATTAAGAGCTAACAAGGGTCTTAGTGATTATTTAGACCAAAACCCTCATTTTACCGATGTGGCAAATGAGGCTTATACATGGGAAGGGACTTTTACAAAGTCATACAGTGAGTTTTTCAGAGAGCTGAGATAATAACTCAAACCTTCTAATCTCTTGCCTAGTGTTCTTTTCATTGTCTCATATATTCCGCCTCTCCACTGAGGCTCCTTGATGCACTATGCCATTACTTCAACAATTTTCACTCTCAAAACCAAACCTTCTACCCCTATTACTATTGGGTCCCAACTAGAGTGTCACTACTTGCCCACAAGACTCTACGATCTCCCAAAGAAGGCTTCATCTTCTTCAGTCTCTCCTTCCCTCCATTTAATTAGCAGCAAATACCTCCAGGTCTTAATTCCTAAGCATTCTGAGCAAAGAACAATTTAAAAATCTGCTTCTCCATCTCTATACCATCTTATGTTAGAGACGAGGGAGATAAAACCCAGAGAAATGTTCCTGAGGTCACCCTGCAAGTTAATGGCTGATCCAGGGGAAAATCTGGCTAGGTCCCCAAATTGCAATCTAATATTTCATCCTTTATGCCTAGCTGGCTCATCTAAGAGACCTGTCTTAATGGCTCTGGCTCCTGATGATCATTAATGCCATCTCCTTTCTATACTTCAAGGGTGAAATATGTTGGCTCTCACCTTGCAAGTGACTGTTCACTTGACAACTAATCAACCATGTGCCAGGTTCCTGAGGCACCATCTCAGCAGTCACAAAGGTGGCTGGAAAGATGTGAGCCACATCAGTGCGGTGGCCCCGGATGGTCAGTATCTGCCCGTGGAAGAAAGCTGTGTGAACATCTACTTCATTGCCCATGCCAAATAAGTGCCATGCCACACGCTTCTGTGAACACATGCTTAGATCTGGTAAGTTCCCAAAGACAAAGCCATTGATTGCTGCAAAGGGAAATCCAAAGAAAATATCAGAGTTAGGAGATGGGAGATTTGCCATCTGCCATCCATTCAGATGAATTTTTAAAAAAGCATACTGTACTGACTATATACCTTATTTAATTTAAAATCTCCTAAACAGCCTGGTAAAATAGGCAGATATCATTGATCTCAAGCAAAGAGTGAGACAACCAAGGCCCAGAGAAGTGAATTTACTTCTCTCCCAAGGCCACAGAGCTGTTAAGTAGTAGAACCAAGATTCCAACCCAGCAATATGAGGAAGCTTTCTAATGACTGGGGTTTGTTTTGCAAGTTATTCTTCCCTTCCAGGCCAATTTCCTTCTGAAATTTCCATGGGAGAAGTTTCAAGTTAGCTAATTACCATGGTTATCAAAGGTAATTTGTGTAAAACCCAAGAGAAATTGGAGCTGTTGAAACCATCCTTTACATCTTCCCTCTGAGTTTTCACCTTCCTTTGGGATTGCCTGGCTTTGAGACCATCTCTGGCACCAAAGGGACATAAATTTCTTTCTTAATTAAACAAAAATAAATCAATTTGTTTGTACTACTAAAATCAGTTATCTACCCATGCCTCAGGGCTTTTGTGTCTTTAGTTTGTTTTAAATTTAATTGCAGTAAACAACTTCCTTACAGCCAACAATTTCCCCCCCAAAAGTGGGTAATTCTCCCAACCTTTATAGGACAAAGAAATACTAACTTTATCAGGGAGCAACCTTCAGCCTGAGAGACTGGGAATAAAGTACATGACTTTGAAATCAATAACCTAGGCAAGATACCTAATGGCAAGAGCACCTGTCTGCAGTCGGACAGATCAGTGTTGGAATTTTAACTGTGCACTTTTTTTTTTTTTTTCTGTTCTGTAACCCTGGAGCCTCAATTTCCTCATAGGAAAAACAAGGAAAAGTTACCTAGTACTCTCAGTTCCTGTGAGGGCTAAAAACAGGGAAGAGGTACCTACTACTTTTAGTTCTCATGAAGTATATGGAAGTACCCACCAAATGCTAGGCCCAGTGTAAACCTTCCATCAGTCTTTACTGTCATGGTGTGGCCACCCTCTCCCAGCTCACCATGCATCCTATTGCTTTCCTGAAAGGCTGCATCTTCTTTGTCTACTGAGGTAGGATCTGAGCAGTAAGTGACAATGTTCTCATCAATATGCCAGCTAAGGTTCTCATCTACCACACTGAAGAACAGGAAGAAATCATTATCCACATCCTTCCGCTGTGGAGGGGAATTCTCATCTAGAGTACCTAGAGTAAGTAAGAAATGTGTTTTTGAGAACCTTCTCTCCTTAGTACCAGCAACCTTCAAGGGGTACTCATAAAAGTAAATAGGAAGATGGGGCCTTAGGAGTCTTTTGTCAACAGAAAAGCAGATAAGGCTTTCTGCCCCTAATTCCTATTTCCCCAGTTAAACACAATTCAGTTGAGCCTAGGACTTGAAGATTGGATGTATAGGACCTATAATAATTCCCACCCACCATACCTGCCTGTATCTTCAACCCAGGGACTTAATCTAACCATTCTCCTACAACACCCAGGTCTTCCAGGTCTGACAATACTTAAACATACCATGTGTCCAACGAAGTCCCCCAGTACTCCCCCAATCCTGATGGCTACACTTTTGATCCTAACCATACTTAAACTCCTATCACACACTTTGTTTCCGTGATTTGACTCCCATAATTACTACCTCAAGGTTTTAAAATGAAATTGAGAAACTATTAAAATGTTTAAAAGGTAATGAAATAGGGAAAATAGTGGAAAAAATTTAGCAGGGTTTATTCCTGCTAATAAACAAGGGCACTGAATTAACACCCCTTCAGGTTGCTGTTTAGTATGTAAGTGATTCAGCTACATCACTGTTTCCTGTAGATATCCCACACTGCATCTCAACAGATCCCTGTGAGGCCTGTACCTCTTTTACATGTGATAAGGGGTCCAATGAGGCCAGTTGCAATGTCTCGTGGAGCATCTACATGAGAATGGTAGATCCAGGTGAGGCATGCTGGGTCAGCATCAGTGGGTGCATGGCCTTCTGGAATGGTCCAGTTGTAAATGTGGCTGCCTCCCGGAGGAACAGAGTCATCAGCTTTTAGCCGACCAGAGGAGCCATCTGGGTATAAAGAGCCTAGAAAATGAAATTGCACATGCCCAGTCTCAGGATGAGTGAGAGGGAGCCTGGCATATATAGAAGCCAAGAGAGGGCTGACATATGGGACAGTGTTCCTCACAACCTGAGGTAATATCCAGCTGAAGAATCCCAGACCTCACATCAACAATGGGTAGAAAGGTAACAACCATTGGAAAAGGAGCCATGGCCATGGAAAGTGCTTCACAGCCTGATCCAGTAGTATCCTAGTATAAAACCAGTGGCACAGAAGTGAGAAAGAAAACAGAATTCCCCCCCCTTCAAGCACTCACTTTGGAAAACAGAAAGCAATTACAGAATTTCAATCTTTTTAAAAGATTATATATAGATATCTATCTATCTAGATAGATAGATATCTATATATAGATAATGTTCAGTTAGCCACATTAGTTTTTGATGTAGTGTTCAATGATTCATTAGTTATGTATAATACCCAGTGCACATCACAACACGAGCCATCCTTAATATCCATCACCCTGTAATCTAAAGCCAAATTAAGTTCCTCTTAACATTAAAAATAGAACTACTCTATGATCCAGCAATTACACCACTGGGTATTTACCCCCCAAAATACAAAATACTAATTAGGAAGGGTACAAACACCCCTATGTTTATAACAACATTATTTACAATAGCCAAATTATGGAAGCAAGCTAAGTGTCTATCCATTGATGAACGGATAAGGGTGTGGTGTATATATATGCAATGGAATATTATTTAGTCATGCAAAAGAATGAAATCTTGCCATTTGCAATGACGTGAGTGGAGCTAGAGAGTATTATGCTAAGCAAAATAAGTCAGTCAGAGAAAGAAAAATACCATATAATTTCACTTACATGTAGAATTTAAGAAATAAATCAAATGAGCAAAGGGGAAAAAAGAGACAAACCAAGAAATAGCTATAAACCTCTTAGCTATAGGGAACAAATTGATGATTACCAGAGGGGAGGTGGGTAGGGAGATGGGTGAAATAGGTGATAAAAATTGAGGAGGGCACTTGTGATGAGCACCAGTTGAGGTATGGAATTGTTGAATCACTGTATTGTATATCTGAAACTAATACAACACTGTACGTTAACTGTAGTAGAATTTAAATTAAAAAAAATGAAGCCAACTTAATGATCAGTTGGTCCACTTACCCTTTTTATGGAGGAGAAAACAGGAAAAGTAACTTGTCCAAGGCTATACAGGAATTAGTGGGCCGGTCAAAACCTGGATTCCCTTTATACTTTAGTCACTCACTGTTGTGTCATTATTATAGGCCACTGGGTGGGAGATACAGATTAGTAAACTGCTCTTAAGAAAAAGAAATGGACCTTTCAGAAGAGCATGATACTGGAATAGTGTCCCTTTATATTCACAGCACACTCTCTTCTTTCCAAAGAAGAGCCAATTATTTTATGGAAATGTCATTCAAGTAACTCTTCGTGATAAAAGGCAGATTGAATCTCCATATACCTAATGAAAAATATGAGGCCCAGAGAGGGGAAGTGGCTTGTCCAGAATCACAACATATGGACAGCAGAAGTGATAACATTAGTTATCAGTTTTTCTGGGAATGTCCCTGCCACCTCAGATCAATAAAGAGAAAACAGTCTATTTTCATTCCTAGCTCCTCTCTCTTAAATGTTAGTAAAAGAAATGCAGTATCTATTGTGAACGGGAGAAAGAAAGGGTGGTCTGATTTACCTTCTGAGTCCTTTTCATAGAAAACACCATGGGGGTGTATGGTGTAGGGGCGAGAGGCAAAATTCTTCAGGTGGATAAGGATGACATCTCCCACCTCAGCCTGCAACACTGGTCCCAAAAAACCCAACCAAGCTGGCTGGACCATTTCATCCATGTATGAGCCATCTCTGTATTCCTTGTAAATGGTTTTCTTGTAACTGCTCCCTATCCGGTTCTTGTCAGATTTTAGGAAGCTGGAAGCTACTCTGGGAAGGAAGAAGAGAAAGACTCAGAATTTTGCCACCATCTTCAAACCTCTGGAGAGTTCTTTTAAAAGCTGACCACAAATGACGATTTTTTGTTTAAAGCAAAACAAGAGAAAATGAGATTGTACTGATCAAAACACAGAAGGTTAGAGTCTAACTTTTAGACAATGGGAAGCATTAAATTAAGGCATATAAAATTGGGGCACCTGGGTGGCTTAGTCGGTTAAGTGTCTGCCTTTGGCTTGGGTCGTGATCCCAGGGTCCTGAGATTGACCCTTGCATTGGGCTCCCTGCTCAGTGGGGAGTCTGCTTTTCCCTCTCCCTCTGCTCCTCCCCCTGCTTGTTCTCTCTCTCTCTCTCTCTCTCTCTCGCTGTGTGTCTTTCTATCTCAAATAAATAAACAAAATATTGTAAAAAAAAAACATAAAATGCTAATATTTGACCACTTTTAACTTCCAAAAAAAGCAATTTCACACAGTTCAACCTAATATATAGTAATGGGGAGACAATCAAATATGGACTGACTCTTTCTAAGTGATCAAATCCCAATCTATATGGCCTGAACTTGCATCATCTTGCTATATATGTGAGATCTTATAGTATAGTTGTTAAGGTCACAAATGCTAGAGCTGGGATGACTTGATTAAATGCCCATATTGTAACTTTCAAATCTGTGGGAATTTGAACCAGTTACTTAACTACTTTATGCACAATTTCCCCATCTGTAAAATGGACATAATCATAATACCAAGTTCAGACACTTGATAATTATGACTAAAAAAATTAAAATATATAAAGAACTTAGGACAGTGCCTGAAAAATAGTAAAAGCTTAATAGATGTTAACTATTATTTCAAAATATTGGGAATAGGGAGGGGGAGGAGCAAGATGGCAGAGGAGTAGGAGACTTAAATTTTGTCTGGTCTCAGAAATTCAGTTAGATAGTTATCAAACCATTCTGAACACCTACAAATTCAATGGGAGATCAAAGAAAAGAACAGAAGCAATTCTATGAACAGGAAAGCATCCGCTTTCTGGAAGGAAGGACCTGTGGAGATGTGAATCTGAGGCGATATACTGAATGATAGACCATTGTTGGGGAGGGGCCGGCTCCTGGCAAATGGTAAATCAGCAGAGCACAAAATCAGAACTTTTAGAAGTCAGTTCCACTGAGGGACATTGCTCCACAGGCTAATCAGGGGGTGAAGCCCTCGCTGGGACAGTTGGTCTCAGGGTCTGCAGGGTCACAGAAAGACCAGGGGTGCCTGAGTATGGCAAACACCCAAGTTTTGGAGTGGGGAAGCCAGCTGCAGAGATGGAGCTGAGGAGTGGGCTCTCAGCTCAGGATTACCTTAAACCATGATATGAGGCACATTCAGACCACTACTCTTCAAGAAGGGACCCCACAAGTGGCAGATCCAGGGAGACCCCACTCCCTTCCTCCACCAGGAGGAGCAGTGCAAGAGCGCACTGCAGGAATCTGCTGGGATTGGAGATTCCAAATGGGACCATGTGCCAGAGATAGAAACACTTTGTCACAGGCTGGCTGACCACAGAGTGTGGCGAGATACAAGAACCGGGATACAAGAGTGATTGTTTTTCCCTGAGGATGCACTGAGGAGTAGGACCTTGAGCTCTTGGCTCCTCTGGGTCAGAGATTGGGAGGCTGCCATCTTCATTCTTGTCCTCCAAAGTTATACAGAAAGCATTCAGGGAACAAAATCTACTGAGAGCAAACCCGAGCAGATTGTTTAGCCTGGCCCCTGGCAAGGGAAGTGCAATTCCACGTTGGGCAAAACTATTTGACAGTCACTGCAATGCCCCCCCCCCATAATATCAGCAAAAACATCCAGCTAAGACCAAATTTACTGATCAATGAGAACTGCAAAACACCAGTGGTAGGGGAATACAGTTACATAGAATTTATGTGTCCCCCCCATAATTCTTTTGTCTTTCAAAGCTAAATTTTTAAAATTTTCCTTATTTTTTCCTTTTTCTATTTTTTCCTCATTCCTATTTTAACCATTTTATCATATCAATGCCCTTTAAAAACATTTTTTAATCTTCATTTTTATAGTCATATTCTATCCCTTCATTGTATTTAACCTTATTTTTATATACATGTAAGATTTTCTCTCTTTAAAATTTTGGGATACAGTTTCTTCCAACAGACAAAATATACCCGAAATCTAGCATATGGCTTTGTTCTAATGTCCAGCCTAATCACATTCTCATTTTAGGCATTCAGGCAGAGAGAGAGGAGGAAGCACGCTGAGGAGGAAGCTCCCACTGAGGAGAAAGCCTGATGTGGGGCTCAATCCCAGGACCCTGGAATCATGACCTGAGCTGAAGGCAGAGGCTTTAACCCACTGAGCTATCCAGGCACCCCGACATTCTCATTTTTTTAAATCAACCAAATTCTTATCAATTCCTTTTCAAAAATCTTTTTTTTTAAATTTTCATCTTTTGCATCATAGTCTACCCTTTCATCAAGTTTACACATACATACATATGTGTATGTACGCATATATGTTTACCCTCACACACATATATGTATACATATAAATATATATAAAATTTTCCTTCTTTAAAATTATGGGAGGCAGTTTCTTCTAACAGATCAAAATTAGCCAAAAATCAAGTGTGTGGCTCTGTTCTATTAACCAGCCTACTCATATTTTTTTTTTTTACTTTCTTCTTTCCCCAGTTTTGGGTCCCTTCTGATTTGGTAAATGTATATTTTTCTGAGGTTGTTGTTGTTACCCTTTTAGCACTTTGCTCTCTCATTCATCTATTCTTCTCTGGACAAAATAACAAGGCAGGAAAACTCACCCAAAACAAAACAAAACAAAACAAAACAAAAAAACCAAGAGGCAGTACCGACAGCAGGGGACCTAATAGATACAGATATTGGTAAGATGTCAGAACTAGAGTCCAGAATGATGATTATAAAGATGCTATCTGGGCTTGAAAATAGCATAGACTATTCAAGGGAATCCCATTCTGGAAAAATAAAAGCGATTTTGGGAGAAATAAAAGAAAAAAAAATACAACCAAGTAGAAATCAAAAAAGCTATTAATGAGGTGCAATAAAAAACTGAGGCTCCTACTGCTAGGATAAATGAGGCAGAAGAGAGAATTAGTGATAGAGAATACCAAATGATGGAGAATAAGGAAGCTGAGAAAAACAGAGTGAAACAACTACTAGATCAGGAAGGGATAAATTGAGAGATAAGTGATACCATAAGAGTAAAAACAATATTAGAATAATTGGGATCCCAGAAGAAGAAGAAGAAGAAAGGGCGGGTGGGGAAAGAAGGTATATTGATGAAATTATAGTAGAGAATTTCCCTAACTTGGGGAAGGAAACAAGCATCAAAATCCGGGAGGCACAGTGAGCCCCCTCAAAATCAATAAACATAGGTCAACACTTCGTCATCAAATAGTAAAGCTTACAAGTCTCAGAGACAAAGAGAAAATCCTGAAAGCACCTCGGGAAAAGAGACCTATAAACTACAAAGGTAGAAATATTAGATTGACAGCAGACCTATCCACAGACACCTGGCAGGCCAGAAAGGATTGGCATGATATATTCAGAGCGCCAAACAAGAAAAATGTTGAGTCAAGAATACTATATCCAGCTAGGCTGTCATTGAAAATAGAAGGAGAGGTAAAAAGCTTCCAGGCCAAACAAAATCTAAAAGAATTTGCCAACACCAAACCAGCTTTACAGGAAATATTGAAGGGGATCCTCTAAGCAAAGAGAGAGCCTAAAAGTAACAGACCAGAAAGGAACAGAGACAGTATACAGTAACAGTCACCTTACTGGCAATATAGTGTCACTAAATTCATATCTTTCAATAGTTACCCTGAATGTAAATGGGCTAAATGTCCCAATCAAAAGACACAAGGTATCAGAATGGATTAAAACAAAACAAAACAAAACAAAACAAGACAAGACCCATCCATATGCTGTCTACAAGAAACTCATTTTAGACCCAAAGACACCTCCAGATTTAAAGTGAGGGGATGGAAAACAATATACCATGCTAATGGACATCAAAAGAAACTTGAGGTGGCAATCCTTATATCAGACAAACGAGATTTTTAAACCAAAGACTATACTAAGAGATGAGGAAGGACATTATATCATACCTAAAGGGTCTGCCCGACAAGAAGATCTAACAATTTTAAATATTTATGTCATTAACATGGGAGGAGCCAATTATATAAACCAATTAATAACAAAATCAAAGTAACACATTGACAATAATACAACAATAGTAGGAGACATTAACACCCCCTCACTGAAATGGACATATCATTCAAGCAAAATATCAACAAGGAAATAAAGGCTTTATATGATACACTGGTCCAGATGGACATCACAGATATATTCAGAACATTCCATCCCAAAACAACAGAATACACGTTCTTCTCTAGTGCACATGGAACATTCTGCAGAAGAGAGTACATCCTGGGTCACAAATCAGGTCTCAACTGGTACCAAAAAGACTGGGATCATTCCCTGCATATTTTTGGACCACAGTGCTTTGAAACTAGAACTCAACCACAAGAGGAAAGTTGGAAAGAACTCAATAACATGGAGGCTAAAGGGCATCCTACTGAAGAATGCATGGGTCAACCAGGAAATTAAAGAAGAATTGAAAAAAATTCATGGAAACAAGTGAAAATGAAAACACGACTGTTCAAAATCTTTGGGATGCAGCAAAGGCGGTCCTGAGAGGAAAGTATATGGCCATACAAGCCTTTCTCAGCGAACCAGGAAGGTCTCAGATACACAACCTAACCCTATACCTAAAAGAGCTGGAGAAAGAACAGCAAAGAAAGCCTAAACCCAGCAGGAGAAGAGAAATTATAAAGATCAGAGGCGAAATCAATGAAATAGAAACCAAAAGAACAATCGAACAGAGCAATGAAACTAGGAGCTGAGTTCATTGAAAGAATTAATAATATTGACAAGCCCCCGGCCAGACTTATCAAAAAGAAAACAGAAAGGACTCAAATAAATAAAATCATGAATGAAAGAGGAGAGACCACAACCAACACCAAAGAAATACAAGCAATTATAAGAACATATTATGAGCAACTATACGCCAGCAAATTTGACAATATGGAAGAAATGGATGCATTCCTAGAGACATATAAATACCAAAACTGAACCAGGAAGAAATATAAAACCTGGACAGACCTATAACCAGTAAGGAGATTGAAGCAGTCATCAAAAATCTCCCAAGAAACAAGAGCCCAGGGCCAGACGGCTTTCCAGGGGAATTCTAACAAACATTTAAGGAAGAATTAATACCTATTCTTCTGAAACTCTTCAAAGAAGAAAAAAAAAATAGATACGGAAGGAAAACTTCCAAACTCATTTTATGAGGCCAGCATTACCTTGATCCCAACACCAGACAAAGACCCCATGAAAAAGGAGAATTACAGACCAATATCCCTGATGAACATGGATGCAAAAATTCTCACCAAAATACTAGCCAGTAGGACCCAACTGTACACTGAAAGGATTATTCACCACGACCAAGTGGGATTTATTCCTGG